GGAGTGACTCATAATTTGCATATGCTTGCCTTGTATCATAGTTCCTGACCTGTCAATTGAACTGATTCTATGTAGTCACATTGCACAGCAATATGGCTTTTTATAAGTCTTGCATATTGTGCTCTTTATCGTCTAATTTCCTTGGCTAAGTATCTTTGATTGTGCTATTCTTAAATATCTTGGATACAAATGAAATGCAAAGTCTCAGTAAGTAAGGCACGATGAATAATACTGGAATTTTTCTACTATAAGGGTTTAAAAATACACTAAGGGAAAAAAACCTGCAATTTATTTTTTGAATTTCTGCTTTCGTGGAAGAGAAAAATGTTGAAATAGGAGAGAAAGAAAATGGTGGTGAGAGAAATGTTAAGATGAGGTGTGAAAGAGACTGGGCAGCATTTTCTTTTTCTCATACTCTCTATATAAGACTTACAACCAGGTGTACGCACTGCAATGATTCACTTTCAGAATATTAGTGGAAAAAAGTCATACATAAATTTTAGGTTGGCTTTCTGCATGGTGCCAGTTTCACTGTTGTTCTTCTCTCTTCTTTTTTATTGTCCTCGACATCGTTGATGACAGCCTGTATTTCTTCCACTATAAAGGACAATATCAGGTAGGAGCAGGACATATGAAATTAAGTTTAATAATGACAAAATAGTATCTGGTAGCCTAGGAAAAAATTTTGCCCCTACAGTGAGGTTAAATAGGTCTGCAGGTGACATTGCTGGAGTAATAACACAGCCCCTAATTCACTGAGTGCAGCTTGTGATAGGACCACGATGTGCCAGCTGGATAGAATCCTGCTGGCAATGACTATAAACTTTTTTATTAAACATGATTCAGTTTGTCTTTACTTCCATCTCTCCTCCACTAGTTCTCTGAATTGCAATTTCTATCATCTTTTTTATATGGTTGGAAAAATAACCCAGATGAAAGCTTTCATTCTTTGCCTTATGAACCTCTTCCCTCAGACCCCCTAATGGGAAATTGCTCCTGGAAAGTTTGGACAGTTCCTCTATTTTCCTTAATACTTGCAAACATTAAACCACTGCCTCAGAAGAGATATTTGTACTGCCATACACTGCTTAGTGTTTTTGTTTGTTTGTTTGTTTTGTTTTGTTTTGTTTTTCCTGTGTGACTTTTGCTTGTCTCTTTCCCCTTTCTTCAAGGCTAGGGCACAGCTTGTGGAAGTGTGTCACATTTCTGTCATGCAGCAGAGTGGGAGGCAGCAAATCTGGATATTATTACCAGTTTGCTCATAATCTTCCTGTGCAAATGTGGGCAAGTTATTTATTTCTGTGCTGCTAATACAGTGATGTTCATCACTTGCTTCATGGGGCAAGGGTATCCAATCTGTAACATCGTCAGAGTGATTGAACAGCTCAGACAGGGCTCCCAAAGTAGGTCACTGTCATGTGCTTGGAGACTTCTGGGCAACCTGAAGCCCCTCTGTGGGACAGATCAAGTGGGTTACAGCTGCTGATGCTGTATCACCCAGGAGCCTTGAGATTTGGTGGCAAGGCAGCTTAGACCAGCTCTTGAGCAGCTCCTTGGGTCATCTCCTTGTTCCGCCCTGTTGAAATGTTGGTATGAAATGTAGATTAGCAAGGCTGGCTATCCCTGTTACGAGAAAATAAATAGAAATTGAAACATGCTGAGCTGTTGTGAGAGAAATATCAAAATCAGAGCAAAGAGGGCTGGGAGAGAGCAGGTGGTCCACTCCCTGCCAGATGCAAGTTTATTCCTGTATGTTTGCCTAAGCCATGCTTTAAAAAGTCCCAGTGATGGACCAAGCTGGCACCAAAGTGCAAATATTAGGGTTGATTCATATTATAATGTACCTTTCAGCCATCTTCTGGTTCCCCAAAATAAACATACCACAGGGGTTAAGGAGTGCATTCCTCCTCACACGTGTCAAAAATCTCTGACTTGCTCTGTTTGCTCAGTTCCCCTGCTCCTATAAATTGTGTAAACTGTGTTCATCTTGGACACATACTGCCTTATTTTCCCACTTATTGCATAGCTTGGCAATATTAGTTGAGACATACTCTTCCCCTTTCCTTCTTTTTGTCTTCCTGTTAAGCATTTATCTAACGGGGACTGTAAAATACAAGCACTGTTTGCAACCCTTCATGCTTCCTTTGATAGTGAGCACCACAGCATAAAGGTAGTTTAAGGGACATGCTAACCAAGTACAATCCATCTTTGTGGAGTGTGTAATAACATGGCCCATACTTGGGACTGACAGGGGTTAAGAATAGATCTGGCAAAACTTGGCATTCCTCCCCAAGAAACAAGACCGAGAGTGCAACATCCATGCTCACAGTGAGGAGCCGAGCCTTGGGCTCAGACTCGCGCACCACGCAAACACGATGACAGCCCAGGAAAGAGGAAGAGGAGGAAGAGCTTCCTCTTCATAACAAGCTATTCCTCAGGTGCTTCTGATTTTGATCCTCATCCCCAATCCCCCTGCATGGACTTGGTGCACTTCAGTACTTTTACTGAGGCAGGTGTAATTTCAGGGTGTTGCCCAATTAATCTTTAAAATCATGTCTGGTTAATAAACACTTGCTGAGAATCTTTAATCCTTTAATTCTATGTGCTCCTTGCTAACTATGTGGCAAAGAAAATTGCATAAACATTGATTTCTTTCAAAGGCAACCGTACTCGGTTTGTGGCACTACTTGTGAATTCTAATCTGTCCCACCTGGAGATGTCTCTTTTAATCCTAAACTACACTGGAGATTAAAGTTTTTTGAAGTGTATAAACAAGTTCAAAGGTCTTAAAATTGTGTTAGTTGGTAGGGTGTAGCTGGTTTACCAGAGTTACCAAAGCAATACTTAACTTCTATACAAACACAACATGCTATTAAATACATTTGTCTTGTTCTTCAGAGTAGAACTGAGTCAGCTTCCAGAGTTCAGCTGTGCTTGATATCTACGTATAACATGAAATGGTCTGGGGAAGGCTTGCCAGGCCTTTTTTGTCTTCTCTTCCTCAGTGTACGAGGAACTGCAAACTAAATGGAGCAACATAATATGGATGTGGAGCTGAATGATGTGATTTTCAAGGAAAAATCACAGTAACGAGGGTGTTTTGCTTCCGCTGAAAATCACCTCAACTCCTCACACAAGACTTCTGCAACTGGCTTTGTAGGTTTTCACAGTCAGAAAGAAACATGATATTGTCCGTGGCCTTCATGGACGAGAGGGTACGACATGCTCACGTTCTATTGATTTTCCAGATCCGAGAATGCTAATATTTTTCATATGCAATCACACTGGTGTTTACATTATTTGGGGATTTGAAGTCTGTTTTGATGCTTTATGAAGTCTGACATTGCTTGAATAAACAAATTCTTAATAATTGATTAAAAAACTGAGTTGTACCACTTAATCTGTCTGTGCAGAGAGAGGCATTTTTTCCTCTGGGACAGGAATAACCCAGCATTTAGTTAATCAAGTTTTAAAAGCTGTGAATTTAAGCTCTTTGGGATATATACATTACCAATTGCAGGAAGTTGGGAAATAAAAGGAACTTTTCAAATAAAAAGATGTCAATTTAATAGCAAAGGAGCTGGAAACAGATGTTTCACGCAAAGCATAAGAGTTGTGTCATTCCTTTAGGTTTTCAAAGTCACTTCTTGTCAGATGCATTGGTTAAGAGAGAAAATTAATGAGCTGTGTTAAGTTTTATTACACAATCTTCTGATGTGGGAAAGCTTCCCTCCAGGAACAGCTCTGTGCATGGCTTAACTGATTTAGGCATGCCTGCTGCAGTATTCTCCAGAATGTGTTGGAGATCAAAGTAGGGGGAGTTATTCAGGTTTTATGGCAAGGTAATTAAAAAAATATGGGGATTATTACATATAAATCATACTTGCATAAATTTGCTGGCAAAATAAAATCAAATAAACACGTTTAAAAAATGAGATCAGGAAAACATTTGGCCACATTTTTTACAGTTACAGATGCAAAGCTATACCCTGAAGTCTACACAGATGACCTCTTTCTTCCACTGCAGAGAATTTGGCCCAGTTCCATTTTAGTGGTGTTTTCATTTACTAAAAAAAAAAATAAAAAATGTCATACTGAGCTCTCCCATGTTGTGACAATGTGAAGATGAGGATGGGGACGTTGAACTGTGTACAACTGACAGAGAAACAGTCCCAGGGAGCGTTGTGGCAGGACTTCCCTTGGTGTCTGAAGTGATTTCATCTGAGATTTTATTATCCTAGAACTGGGCTCATGTGCCCGAGCATTTACCTTGTCAATGCACAGGTTAATAAAATAGAACACAAGACACGAGAGCAAACACTGCTCTCCCTGCATTGTTTCAGTGCAGACTTTAAGCAAAAAACAGGTTTGGACCAACAGCTTCTGGAAGAGGGTCTAAAAACATCCGTAGAAAAGTGGAAGACTTTCTGTTTTCTGGTATACAGGACTTCTGAGGAGAATGAATATGAACTCAGGGAGGGATTGTAGCTTGTCCTTTCTGGCTGCATGCTGCATGAGGGAGAAATAGACTCGTGCTGTGCTCCAAGTAAGGGCTCAGAAATCCTAGACTAGACAGAGGGAGAAATGATCCAGTTGTAAATGTTGAAGTCCTGATCATGAAGTGCAGAATGCATTTCTCTCTGGGTGGGAGAGAAATGAAGAGAATTGTGAAACTTCTGTTTAATCAGAGGAGAGCTTCCACATTTCTGTCACATAAATATGCAGAAGGGATAAGCTTATAGCTTCAGCTGTCCTGAATGCAGTGACACCATATGAAGACAGAACACACATGCACATGCCTGTATAAACATATACACAGTTGTAGCCAAAATGTTTAACACTGTAAGGACTGAGCTTTCTCTCTCCAAGGATGTGCATATGCCCTCTTTGGTCTAATTGGGTTTACCACTCTGCATGCACGTGTATATGCAAGAGATATAAAATACAAGTACCATTGCTTCTGATGTGAAATAATATTTATTTTCTTGTACCAACTACAGGTCCCTGAGAGAGTACACGTACAGTTCACTCTGGAAGCTACGCAGCTGAAGCAATGGCAACAGAAGAAGCACAATATGCTTGGCTGTCATTTTAGCAATCTTCTCTGCAGCAGTCTTAATGTGCATGGAAGAGGGGCTATCGCCTGATGACTCCACATGTATGAAACTGTTCAATTTGGATAGCGAAAACCTAGATGAAGTGTCAGGTGAAAATTCCCCTGTGCTTTGCTCTTTTGGGCAATTGAATAATTTCCTGAAGGAACTGGGGAAGCCACCCCATCCTGTCAAATGTTTAAAGATACTTGACTTTAAAATGCTGTCTATCTTGACAGTATAAACATATACACATATAAACATAAACATCTATCTGTGTTTGGCATAACAGGTCTCTTCCACTTCTAATTGTTTTCAAAGAATCAAGAGATACTGCATCCAATAATGATAACGAATAGGTATTAAACATATCTGAAGCTGGAATTTGGAGGCCAGATCTGAAAGTATTGCAAAACGTAATTGTATTTGCATGCTCTTTGTATATGCACTGCTCTTAATCACATGTCCACAATCTCAAAAGCAAGGGTCAGAAAATTCACTGAGATTTTGAAAAAGCAATAATATAAAGCCCATTGCATGATTTAATATAGAATCCTAACAGTAAAGAATTTGATGATTTATCTGGTTCTTATTTGATGTACCTCTACTGCCACAGTTAATATAGTGTTTGCAGTGCACACATAAAGCAGATACCCCTGAATTCTTCTCTAAAAGAGTTAAATTATTTTATGGTCATGTGTGCTGTCTTTCCTGTTATTTTTTTCCACAATCTCTATAGGCTGTATTTAGTTTATATAAGTTCCTCTTAACAGCTTTCAGCAGGGTTTGCTTTAATATAATGGTAGAGGTAGGTGGTTATAAAAAAAGGATATAAAGATGCTTCTAAGAAACTTTAAAGCATGAAGAGAGCCTGTCTTTCTTGGTAATTACCAAAGTCTATAAAAAAAAAAAAAAGTAAGCCTCCAGTGAGGTATTTGGAAACAGGCTATTTTGTTCTGGTTCAGACTATTTGGTCCTGCTGCTAATGATTGCATATTTCACTGCAGCAGAATAAAAATCAACCTCTGACAAATATCAGTCAATGTCCTTAAAGTATTTCAGCTCCCAAAGTAGAATTAAAGTAATATCTAAGTTTTTCTGAAGGCTGATGCTGGCCCTTCAGAGGTATGGTTCAATTTCAGTCCTACATCTTTTGTATACTGGAAAACATCAGGGAGCTGAGGGTTTTCTTGGTTTTGCTGCAGGTGTGCTTCACGCTTGTGTGAATATTTTCTGTAAGATCTGTGAGACAGGAACGTAAAATGCCTGACCCCAGCCTTTGGGATACTTAGAGCAATAGTCCATATCTAAGTCCTTATGTCTAGTAGGAAGCTGGTGACTTTTACTGGCTTATTTGTGGCTTATCTTAATGGCTGCAAGTTAAAGACCCAGGGGCAGCATTATTAAGAAGTTCATTTGTGTCTGGGTTTGTTGGTGCATATCTTCTCCCTACTTGCATCCTAAAGTATTATGTTTCATAACTAGTTGTTGCTACTGGTCCTGGTGCTGCTGCTGCTGGCAGTTGTATTTCTCTGGTTCCCAGTTCTCTTGCTGGCTTCCTCTGGGGAGGCAGCATGGTGGGGATATCCTCCACCAACCTCTCTGCTCTGCTGGAGGGACTGAGGAGGTAACAGATGAAACTGGACAGACAATCTGTTGATAATTCACAGCTCTGCTTCTCCGTAGCCTCCTGGAAGGAAGATGCTGGGACTTAGCACATAGTTGGAGTTCCTTGTTCTGCTGAGCACACCAGCACCATGCAGCAACCCCTGATGGTCAGTGTGCTGTGCATTGCCTGCTGCTTGCCTTCCACAGGGAGCCCTGGGGGATGCAAGCTGAGCTGCCTGCATGCTGGTGGAGCACTGGCAAATGTGAGCACAGGGCCTTCCTCCCAAAGCCAATGTGAACCCTCTCTACAGTTATGTTAATACCTGGAGCAGGGTGAAACTGACCCTAAGAAGTTAGCTACTTCCTTGTTTCTTCCTTTTTAAAGTGGCATCGTCACTGCAAAATATCTTGAAATTCTTAGCTATAAGATGCTGTAAAAATGGGAACATTATTGTTATTATTAGCTTGCTATGGAACTAGAACAAAAAATTATCCCGGACTTTTTCTCGTACATGTTTATGCCTTGCAGACAGCCTACATGGACCTGGATCCAGACATACTCATGGGCACAGTATGTCTCAAGGCATAAATAATTCCAAAAGCTCACTAGGTTCAGTTCAGACATTTTCATCTTCTCTATTTTGAAGAGGCTGTGTTATCAGCTTAACTGCATTTGTTAAACCATTTGCAGACACAGTTTTTTGTTTGTGCGTTAGCCTCAGTGTCAGCAGCAGAATGATCACCAGAGGTGGTGCTGACTATCAAACATGTAATTGCTCCCCAGTAATAGTACCTAAAGGGGAGATAGGACATTATAAAAACAGTTTCTTTTGGTTCTAAAAGGATCAGACGAAATGGAGAGCCTGCTCTGAACAGTTAGGATGATTTTGCGACGAGATACATGGTTTAGGTAATCTGACTGTGAGCCATCTGCATTTTACACCTCCCTGGTGGCTAGATTTACTCTTTGCCTGTTTTTAATTTGGGATTTCTTTTGCTTTCTGCTATGTGCACTGATGAGATTTTGATATTTTCTTGTACAATGCAGTGTAATAGAGTGGTTTTGCCTAAATGGACCTATATTAATTCATGTGAAGCAAGGACATTCATTTCTGACAAAGATCTCTCTAATCCATTGAACATGTTATGTTAATGTCTATTGATTTTCTGATGAGCGCAATGATTAGGTAATTATCTACAAATCCTTTCTCTTCTGAATGTACAGTGTATAATATATGGTTTCATGGATTAAATAATGGCATACACTTGCAGCAATGTGCTCCTACACAAGATCTTCCTCATTTATAAGTTAGATGCACCACATATTCGAGCACGGCATCCGTTAAGCTGACATGCACTGACATCCTTGCTGGCTAATTTCCGGTGCATGTGTCCAAATAAGTGCATAACATTGTACATTGAGGTGTTCTATGCAAATTCAATTACATCAGTAAAACTGCTGTGAGAAAACCTTCTCACATTTTTGAGCAAACCATGTTCAGTACAAGTGTTTTTCGATGGCGTTTTCATTGTTACACGCACCAGTATTGCAGAGATGAATGGAACTTCTGGTGAGACTATGCAAACACACAGTGTGTCTGTTCTTCTACAGACCATGATGTGCTCAGGAATTAGAACACAAAAGCAGTTTGTGAAAAACAGTGAGAAAATAACTTTAACAGGTGATCTTTTAGTGGTATTACTAAGTTTCTCAATCAAATTATGAGCACTCTTGCCTATTTGCCTCTCTCTCTTGCAACAACCTTGCCAGATATCCCCTTCTCTGTGTATTTAATGAGTAGCCTTCCTTCGCTTTGCACATAATCACTTGCCTTTTACATATACATTTACAAAACACTAGTGCAATGTGAATTTAAATGCACACACCAAACAAGGAGTGAATCCATACTCTAAATGTTGAAAAGCAGCCACAAGGTATACTCTGAAAACATGAAGCTGCTCAGTCAGAAGGAGAAATTTCAGTTCTTACAATTAACCCTGCTCTGGTAATCCTACTGCAAGAAGGCATACACATCTGTTTGTCTTTCCACACAATGTGCTCTGTGGCAGGATGAAAATGAGAAGCAGAGATAGTTGCCCTTTCAGGAACTCCCAGATCTATTGTAAGGTTATTATCTTGGCATTTAGACCGTTTGAAGATGGCACAAGTAATAAAAGAGAATAAAAAACAACCCAATTGTCACTAAATTCCAGCACAGAAATTATACTTAAATCTCCCCAGTATGCTTCAAAACCAGCTTGTCTTCTTTTCTGTACTTGTGCCTATATTCACTGTAGGTAAGTGACTGCTTTTCAGCTTTGAACTAATTATCATTCCTGAAAGTATTTTCCAAGCCACAACGGCTTTATGGGCCAGCTTCTGTTCTCAGTGAATTACAGGAGTAATGCTGGTGACTTCAAGAGGAGCAGGAGCCGTGTTAATGAAGTAGACCTATAAAAGAAAAAGGGGGGGGTGGGAAGAAGCAAAATACTTTACCAGTACATTGAGGTTAAGGCTAGAAGATTGTGTTAGTGGTTACGGTAAAATGATTAATTCTACAGCTTTTTCTTAAAAAAAAAAATGCAGCATTGGCTTACTACGCAAATCCTGATCTCTGCCTGTGTACGTATTCTAACTGCATATTCTTACTTTGGCAGAAAGCAAATACTGGAGTCTTTTTTGTTTTGCATTTACTACAAACATCTCTTTTGGACTCCATGTGACAGATCAGCTATTTCTCCCCTGCTGCTTTCAAAAGTTTTTATAATATCAGCCTTAAAAATCGCATTTCTTTGGCAAATTTCTCCAGGATAAAGTCAGCCATAAACTGGAAGAAAAAATGCCTTTAGGCTTACGAATTCTTCCTTCTCTCAAGCATCAAAATGCTGTTATTTTGAGAAGTGTCTGTGTTCATTGTTTCTCTGAAATCTGAACTTTTTCCACTTGGAGACAGTTAACTCCCTGAGAATCTTGCAGGAGCGGTATTAGATGTTGATCTCCTTGCAGGAGGATGGGGTGCAGCAGACAGCCAGGCCACATCGATCCGGGCTGCAGGACGTGTTTAGTGAAAAATCTATAGGCCTCAGCTTAGGGTGTCAGCTGTCAGTCTGCAGAGCATCTGTCAGAGGAGTATTTGCTTCACTGCCGCTGAATGTGAGTAATGCTTTCACAATATGGCAGTACGATGCTATAGATTACAGTTGTAATGGAGCACATCCTGAACAGCTGAGCCTGCTCTCTCTCGCTCATTCAATAGCAAGAGTTGCCTCACTATAAGAGCTCGGGGGATTATGTACTCCAAACAGCTGTCTATAGCACCATGGATTTATTTGGGCTAAATGAGAACTTGCTTTCTTTAGCTAAATCAAACTTTATCAGACAGTTTTACTGTTGGCAGTTAAAATAAAATGTGTTTGCTGAACAGTAAACACCTTGTTACTGTTAGGAAGGATTATATAAACAAAAGGCATACACAATGAAGTCTTATGCCAACTGACTTACTGT